TATGTTTATATGTTTTTATTTTTTATTATTATTTACTCTAACTAAAAACTTGAATATTCAATTTCCCTCGTTTATGACTTTTTGAAGTATACATTTCTTCTAGAAAACAAGCGATAGCTTAGCAAATAGACTGCTGTAAATATAACTATGGATATTGCGCCTTCATGAATGAGTGACAAAAATTATTGGACGCGTGAAAATTCAATTAAACTCTCGCCTTCAACTACTGCTTTTAATATAGCAATTACTCAAGCATGCTAACTACTGTTAACACTACTTTTATTTAATTAAACTATGGAACAATTTTACGAGTTTTGTTTAGTGCCTCAACTAAACTATGCCCATACGGTAGCAAACAAGGCGAATTCGTATAAGGGTGGGGTTACCAGAGAAGCTGGTGATTCATAATGTCAAAGTAATGTACATATTTGTTGTAATTTCCGTTTGAAAATTTAACTAAATTTCATTGATAAAATAAATGATACATTACAATATGGGTATCAAATTAAAGAGTTTTTAAAAGACCTACAGTTGAAAATATGTTTTGAGGAGGGTTGCCACCTGTTTGAAAATTTAACTCAATTAAATTGGTAAAATAAATGAAATGTTACAATATCGGTACCAAACTAAAGGCATTTGAAAAATTTTGATTAAGAAATTTTTTCAACAGGATTATGCCCTAAATGTAAAGACTGCAAATATTGGAACTAAATAAAAATATATTACATAATTGGTTCCAAAAGAAAAGTGTTAGGGAAAGCTTTACTAGAGATTTTTTATGTTTCCACTTATCCAAAAGCCGAACAGTTTAAATGAAGAAAGAATTTACAAAATTTTATTAAACGAAGTGATTATATTATCAACGAAGTGTTGGTATACAAATTTACAAATGAAAAAATAAAATAATAAAAAACCATACCGAACGAAAACATAAATATGTATATCCCTTAATAAAAACCTAAAATTGTTGTCACCATTCCTTAACATAAAATAGTTAACTTTCAATCATAAAGAGTTTCACTTGGGGTCGCCATAGCCTACTATGTACCATATTGCAAGTAAAGAGAATGTGTCTGCTTTAGCGTAGCGTAGAGTTTTCCCGACTTTCAAATTTCTAAGAATCTACCTTAGTGAAATATACATCTACCTATCAATACCCATATTTCCAGATTTTTTTTTTGCTAAATTAGATGAGCTGCTTCGGGTTTTCAGCAAAGTGATCGCATATTGCAAATGTTAAGATATTAGGAGCTACAGAACTGAACCACTCACGAACAAATTTTACAAGGGCGTGTAATTTATGGCGTATGCCAATAACATCGACATCATCGGTAACAAAAACCGCGAAGTCTGTCCTGCCTTTTCCAAGATGGATAATAAAGCAAAGCGATTGGGTTTGGTGATCAACGAGGACAAGACGAACTATCTCTTGTCACAAACAAGGCGTAAGAGCAATCGCGCCTTGGCACCCACGTCACTGTTGACAGTTATAATTTCGAGAAAGTAAACAATTTCGTTTGGTTAAAAACCAGCATAGCGCACAAGTGCTACTTTGGACTGAGTAGGCAATTCGGGAGTAAAGTTCTCTCTCGACGTACTAAAACCACACTCTATAAGTCACGATGACTTTTCACCCTGGCTTCATGCCCAAGCTGGTATATGGCGTAGAAGAATAGACAATGACAACATCCGATGAGGCGGTGTTTGGAATATTCGAGAGAAAGATCTTACGGAAGATTTACAGGCTCTTACCCGTTGGCAACGATGAGTACCGTTCGAATGGGAAACACGTTCCAGGTCTAAAAGTATTCGACTCGCAATCCGCTGGTGGTAGCAGAGGAAGGGGGGAGGTGCCCACTGCAATGAAAAGGAAAGGAATGGAATGTAGAGAAGGACTTGGCTTCGCGTGGCATTTCCAATTGGCGTAAGTTGGCACAGAGAGAATCGACTGGCGTGCTTTTTCGAACTCTGCTAAAATCGCTTATGCGGTTACAGCGCCAAATAAGAAGATGCAAATGCTAAATGACCTTCTTCTTGGATGCGCCAGGAGGAACTAAGAGAACATTCCTTATAAGATTGTGGCAACGGTTCGATGAAAAAATTACATAGAACTGCTCGAAAGAATGTTTCCGGATATTCAAATTAATTATAGGAATCACGATTGGCTCAGTGAACGAACTATTTTTTTTTTTGTGTATGAAGCTGGGCTCCCACGATTGCCGCAATACACCAATTATTGCCTCATTTTATGCCCCAATCGTGTGATTTCACAATACATTGACTCATGCGGCAAGAGAGGCCGATATTGTGCTTACTGTGCCCAATCAAATACGGCCCGTGTGCGGCAATCGTGTGATAGCTCGATTGGCAATCATGGGGCAATGAAAATTTCAAAATTGCGGCAATATTTATTGTATTCTTGTGTGGCAATTTAAATGAACAATACACATCAATATTTAGGCTGTTTATTAATAATTTACTTTTTTGCTTCCTTATGTGTCCAAAAATCACTGAAATTAATATCCTTGTTTTCGGAAGCAACATAACTTTTAATTTAATTTGTATTGAAATTATAATTTTTCATGAAGTCCGATGACGGAATCTTTGCCACGATATATACCACCACAAGCAAAACTCATACGAGAAGAATACGAAAGGTATTTTATGTCACCAAATGGCGAACTGCTATGACAGTATAAATTTATTAAAAAAAAAAAAACTTAAAAGTTCAATACAGCCCACGACAAAGCAGTAGAACCTCAACATTTTGACCAGTCTTGACTATTTTTCTTCTACTTATTTAATCTTCATTATTTTCGTATAAAAGTATAGCTCATTGTCTAACAAAAACTGCATAAATCCAAATTGCAAGCTTTATACAAAAATTATAAAAATTTCTTAAACTTCTGAACACAATCCCACGGTTTTCAAATTGGATTTCTAGAAAAAAAAATGGTTATTTAGTTTTGTAGCTCATTAAAATTTAGTACAATAAGGTGGAAGTGAGAAGTTGCTAAAAGATCCTGTTGATTTTCAGAATATTTTTAGCTGACGGTATTATGCACTTTCTTCTCTGTAAATTACTTTGTAAACTGCATAACAAAATTTTTTCTAGAAACCCAAATTAAGAACCATTGAATTGTGATCAAAATTTTAAGAAATGTTTATAATTTTTGTATAAAGTTTGAAATTTGTGGTTTTATAGGAAAAAATTAACATTAAACAACAGAAGAAAAAAGTCAAGACTGATCAAAATGTTAAGGTGCTATCTTTTGTTGCGAGCTGTACATATAATTATAAAATTTCATTCCAAACATAAATTATGTAAATTCGCAGCTTTCATTTAAACAAATATAACTATTTTGTACCAATTTTACTTGTAATGAATAAAAAAACCATAATACATCATACACCCACCCTGTCGGAAACAACAATAACCAAAAAGGGAATAAAAAAACCTCTACGTAACAAAATTAAAAAGAAAACTGTTGAAACTTGAACTCCACATAGCACGTTGCAGTTATCGTCGAAAAATAAAAAAAACTATACGCTCAAACTTCTAAATAAATGCGTGAGTTTTCATTGGACACAAGTTTTTTGCTTTCAAACAACAAGAAATTTGCACAAAATGAGCCCGCAATATACAAAGCAGATGCAACTGATTTATTTTTTTTATTAAGAATACGCCATTTTTACAAAACAGAGAAAAAAAACAGAATTTAGAAGTCAGCGCACCACTTTATGGTCACAATTGCCGCATGCTCGAACAATCGAAATTTTGAACTCGATTGATTTTCCAAGTGGGGTAACCACATACTGAAATTGAAAATAGGTGTGGCAATTATCATGCTGCGGAATATTAATCCGCCAAAACTCTGCAACAGCACACTCGCAGTTAAGAAGCTGATGAAGAACGTAGTGGAAGCAAAGATTTTAACGAGGCTTTTCAAAGGTGAAGATGCTCTCATCCCTCGAATTCCCATGATTCTGACCGATATACCATTTCAATTCAAAAGATTTCTATTCCCAATTCGATGGGCGTTTGTAATCACAATAAATAAAGCTCCATTTCAATCTTTGGCAAAGTGTGGTTTAGATTTAGCTTGAAAGAGCATAGTTCACACTTTGTTAAAAGTCGCACTTGATCCTCGAAACGAAAATGGTCTAAAATTAGCATTTTTGACGCCGGAAATGTAAACTCGATAAACATTATTTTTTGTGCAGAACACCTCAAAGGTATGCAACATTTATTGTGCGTAGAACTTACTCCGAAATTCAAAAAAAAGTGAACTTTTCAGATCGAATTTATTAATAAATTAGTGACCACAAATTAGAAAATTAGATTTCACAATAAAGTGTAGACCCATGACTACAAGTGTGTTTAAAAGTTTTTTGATCGGATCACCCATGCGGACGCAATAGCCCGAAATAATTGGGCAAATAACTAAACAGTACCCAGTTAAATCGTTATTTGGTTTTCCTCAATCAACAATTGCACCAAGATGACGTCACGCATACAGCTGATTCGGTCGAATTCACAAAGAGCGGATTAGCGGTACCGCGATGTACGCCATCTCTATTTCTCTCAATCGTGCGTTCGTAAAACATGCCTTTACAAACAATGATGCACTTTGTAAAGTATCGACAATAAGGGCATACATACATCACTTCATATGTATATACATTACTAATCATTTAGTTTTCTCACTGGGCTGGTTTGCACCCAGTTATCGACATTTTATCTGTATACGTATGTAAATAGGTATGTGTGCATTTCGCTATATCTATTTATGCTTCCTAAAAGTATGTATGAAACCGACTGCAAACTCATTAGTTTTGTATGGGTGCACAATTTCATTAAAAAAAAATCTACATATGTCAGTATGTATGTACATATGTATGTGTGTTTGTATGCATTGATTAATTAATTCTTTTGCCCTATATTTCATTGCAGCCCTACAACGAATGCCATTATGGGTCTC